TAGTCCAGTCCAACAATAACATTTTCATAACACATTAGATCTTTAATCCCCAGAATCTTCTTTGTTTTCATATTACCTTCAGTGCTAATTTGGCGAGTGGTGCGTGACTCAGCGGATCGGGCCTCTGTGCTTGTGAGGTCATAGTTCAAGCCCTAGCAGAAAAGTCGCAGCTCTGTTGGCCCCTTGAGCAAAGCCCCTAACCCCCAAAGTGCTGGAGGGACGCCTGCTAAATGGCCCCATCCTGCACTCTCACCCCTAACCCCCAAAGTGCTGGAGGGACGCCTGCTAAATGGCCCCATCCTGCACTCTCACCCTAAGCTTTGCTCTCAGCTGTATATATGTGTGTTTGTCTCAAAGGAGAGCAAGATGGGATTTGTAAAAATAAACATTCTAATGTACCTTTACCTGTGCAAATGCCAAATAAAGCATTTCTTTTCAGTAGTTTTCAGACTTCTCAACTTTATAAATAAGAATTTCTATAGGTCAGTATGCTAAAGCTGGTTACAATAACTTCAGTTTATCTATCTATCTATCTATCTATCTATCTATCTATCTATCATAAAAATTGCTAGGATTCTCAATTGAAAATGTTTTATGATACATCAGACCTACTTACAGTAATTATCATTTAAAACCACAGTCATGTCCAACTCATCTTGCTTTTTTTGTTGTTCTGGGGGTCACTGCAAATGTGCCCGGCAGATCTCTCCCCCACACAGTTTCATAGCAGTAAGTGGCTTAGAGGGCTCCAGTGTCACTGTACGTTTTAGTATGACCATAGAATTTTATTTGAAAAATTCAGTCTAATGTGTTTTTTTGTTCAGCCTTTGTTCAGCTCATGGGAAAGGCTTACAGGGCATTAACTAACCTGACTGGATGCTGAATGCTGCCCTATATAAAGGATGGTGATGGAAGCCCTGAGGAGCTGTTTATTGTGTAAGGAAGTCCTACTGCTATTCTTAATTACTCAAAAATGGAGGGGGGACAAAAATCACTACTTTCTATGATTTGATTATTAAAATGGCATTTAAATTATGAAAGGGGACTTTTTCCACACTAAAAATTCACCCAATCCCAAAGAGAGCAAGCTGGGTATCCAGACAGTCAAGAACTGTGTTGCCCTATTTTTTTTGATTGCCCTTATCTCCATTGAATCCATCAATGAACAGCAATAAAATGGCATTTTGGCACCCCTTTCCTTATAGCATCTGGAGCACGCTTTTTTTCCTTTTTTCCCCTTGGTTTTTCAAGTCTGCCAGAATTGTGTAGAAGAACATCATTTCTTTGCCTGAGATGTTTCACAGTTGGAACCCTGTGAGTGAATAATAGAGGGTGGTTGGTTGTGTGTGTGTGTGTGTCCAGTGAACCCTCATCCTTTTCCTTACATGGTATTTGTGTACATTTCTGCAGACTGTCATCATCTGATTTAACCAGAAGAATCAGTTGACTCTGAGGAGCCTTCGATGAATTTAAACATCACACCCATCTGCAGTAAAAAGTGTGGGACATTGTCCTACCACAGTGTGGGCAGCCCTTTTACTGTGGGAGAGCAGGGAAAAGTTTTTCCAGCTTATATTTTTGCCAGTCTACGAGAAATAATTGTTTGCAGATCCTCTTTTGTGTTTGCGCAGCTCTGATTGCAAGTGTTCCAGTTACGCACATCACAAATTAAAGGGCTCACTGGAGAAAACGAGAGCTGGCTTTATCCAGATTGGGACTGAAAAAGTCTAGTGCTGCATCTTTTATTATCGGTGGATGTTGTAGAAGCACAGCCTCATTAAAGAAGGCTTTGAAAAACATCTTCAGCTGTCAGAGTTTGAATCAGTAAAAAGGCTTTACTCCCTCACTTCTGTGGGATGGGTCAATTTGGCCATGATAAACAGGATCTATAGCATTATGCTGCTGCATCAGGATACAGACAAAGCCTGCTTCCAACTTCTTGATCTTTCAGTAATTTTATCTTCTGAAAAAAAATCTGCTTAGGTGGAGATCAATTTAAAACGTTCATTAAAAAAAGGGACCCTTGAATGGAACTATGGTATTTTTGGCTATACATAAGCCCATTCAAGTTACATAAGACTCCCTGTCTTTCTTCCTTGCTCTGCACAAAAGATCACACACAGGAAAAGCTGCGGTCGGGATAGGATCCAAGGGGCGGCGGCCTTGTCTCTACCAGCGGACTGATCCATTTAAAAGTCTTCCCCCCCCCCGCTTGGTCTTTGATGTTTATTAACTGGGAGAGGGGGACGATTAAAAGGTGCTCTTCAATAACACGCTCCCAAGTCCACCTCAAAGGCTCATGTTGATGGTCTTCTTCACCTTTCATACAGTACTGTTATTTCTGCTCCCCTCCCCCCCCCCCCCCCCAGCCTAGTCACCCCCCCCCCCCCAGCCGTCTTTCCTTTGTGCCGTTATGGGACACACACAGAAGATGCAGAAACATGTGGTGCATCAAAGCAACCCTATTTTTTGCAGCAGAAAATCTCAAATCTCCTGGCAACCCAGGTTCTGTGTATCATTGCCCCATATAAAGACCAAACTTTTATAATCTCTTTGTGCCTCAGATCCTACAGAAACAAAACAAGTCAGTGTAAGCCAAAGCTATGGGCATCCCCGCAAATCACAGGGGTTTTTACATTTCACCTTGAGCACAAATTTTTCTGTAGTGCATTTTCACAATGCGTTTCATTATCCCTGCCCAATGCCCCTGGCCATCCAACCAGAAGCAAGAGTGCAAAGAAAAAACTGCCTAGTAGGAAGAAACCTTGGGAGATCCCACCATCATCGGGCCTACAGAGGAAGCCCAAAATAGTCCCGATTTATAAAGCAGAATTGTGTGTAGTCCTGGTATAAATGTGGAAGGTCCAGTGGAGTTAGGAAAGCTGATGCCTACACAGGCAGGTGATGGTGCCGCTTCCGTGAGCGGGATGGAGGGGGGGTGCAGTCCAGCTGCAGGCAGGGAAAGATGGCAGATGTCCACCATCAGGAGCTCCAGGACACAATCCATTGTGTTGTAGTGGAGAAATGAACAGTGCATTAATAAAAGTGCATGCAAACAGATGTTTATTGGATTTTGCTGACTGGTAGATGCAGAATAAAGTGCTGCTCAGCTTACTGGTTGACAGAACTGTACAAAACCCAAATAATGAAGTTAAATTCTGTTCAAACAATGTGGGACAGTAAGACCATCATTTAACATCATGGTATGTTTTTATCTCAGGAGTACCTATTTCTCACTCTGAACACCTAAAACAGGGGTGTCCAACGCCAGTCCTGGGGGGCCGGAGCCCTGCACATTTTCGGGTTTCCCCTCATTTAACACACCTGATTCAACTCCAGCTGCTAATTACCACACAGCTCTTGAGTTGAATCATTTGTGGTGGAACAGGGAAAGAACTAAGATACACAGAGTTCCGCCCCCCCAGGACTGGAGTTGGGCACCCCTAACATAAAACTCTGATCATATGCAGCAAGTTGCCAGATAGAAGATTGTTTTTTTTTCATTAACTTGATGTTATTGTTTTAATGTGAAACAGCTCTAAAACCTATAGCATAGATTAGTTAAGATGCATACATATGAAAGTCTTTGTCCTGTTGGTTAATACACTGCGTGTGCTTTTCTTTAAGGCTCCATGGTTGTTTTGGTGCTGTATTTAGATTTCCATTCTTGGTTAGTTTTTTTTTTCTCTTTAGTCTAAAAGTGGCTGTCAAGCTTACACTTTACAAATTCATGCTCCTAGATGTGTCTTAAAAGAACAGGGGTGCATTTCCCAAAACCGCCTTTACGCTACGTCGTTCTAAATTGTCTCTTAATGCTGCGACGTGTTTACCGAAACGTTGTTAGTTAAGTATATCTTACGTAAGATATTCTTTCATAAGGTTGGTCTGAGCCTCTCTTAGCTGTCTGTCATCGCTGTTGGTGGCTCATATTGCTCATTTAAAATAAGACTAACATCATTAAGGGTAATTTCATAACCAAATATCTCAACTAAAAAATAACTGATCCGTATGATTTAGTCTGTTATATGGCTACAGTCTTTGTTAGGTTTCGTCCTTGCACTCAATGCGCAGCGAATTGGCCTCAGTAAAGTACAGATTCATAATGAAAATGCTGTTGGTTATGTATTTATTTATTCATTGGGAAGGAGGGGGTGGGCACACTCTCCCTATTTCTGACACCCTTGGAACGCACACACCTCTCTAAATGTGCCAAAGTCACAGGATATCAAAACTTTGGTCCTTGTGGTTGATGAGTCGACACAGCAGGTTCATTTGCATATTTGTCTAATATATTTTCCATAAGTCCTGGAATAGTCCTTAGTAGTCAATACTGAAGCACGTAGGACATTCTTTTATGTTGACAGCATCTTTTCTTTCAGCTATTGTGCTTTTGCTCGTCTCACTATCAATGCCATGCACACATATTAGTGCACGCAGGTGTTTTATAGAATTAAGATAAAATGGTGTGAGGGAATAATCAATCGATGTCAACCAATCAGGTGTTCAGGCACCTGTTACAGTAGCTCTTAAGCTCTTCCTTAAGCAATTTCTTAAGAGATTGTTCAGGAAACAGATGTAGGAAAATAAATACCTTTCGTAAGATATATCTTTAGTCTTCTAACTTTGAATACTGAGATTTAAAATATGAGCCAAGACTGACACAGAAGGTGCCATTGATATTTGTTAAAAATAAAGATATTGAGATATATTGTGCATCTCCATTTGGTACCAGATCTACTCACACCGCTACTGAATAAGTAATGGAGTGTTTATGTGTTAGGTGTCCTACAGTATGCATTTTCCAGTATTTAAGAACTTTAGAAAGAATGACACATCACAATAACGAAAAACAGAATCCAAGAAAGCATCCTGTAGAGCAGCCAATGAGAATTTATGTCAAGGGCTGCATAGGATATACTCCAAAACCATTAGTACAATCCACAGCCCCAAGGAAGGGTTGGAGGAAAGATGGTAAACTGAAAATAATTACAACAAAGATCCGTCATTTAATACCACTTTATTCATTTAGGCTACTAAGTACAAAAAGCTGGCCTCACCAAAACTCATCATTCGGAGAAATTAAAACAAAAAAAGGCACAATACAGGTTTACAGAGTGTTTTAGACATGGAGAAATATATTGTTAAGCTAGACTCTTAGTGACCTTTAAAAACAAGTTAATATTTTAGCATCTAAACCAGCATCTGTTTGAAGTCACCCATCTCAGACAGGTTGGTTCAAATGAACACTTGTGCTTGGTTTCACTCGAAAGGCACACACACCATCAGGAAAGCTCAGCAGACGCATGTCGCTGTCCTCTTAAGAGGGTGGCTGTTAAACCACGCCAGTGTTTCAATGGAATAACTACATTCCTGCGTGTTTGCCTTAATACTACAAAACAAAATATATATATATATTTCTTTACATATAATGATTACAATAAAAGGACAGAAATTACTTAAATAGCTACATATCTTTAAATCAATTGTTCTTCGAAAAAATACCTTGTACTATTCTCTGTACATTCGTTACGCACAGCGTAATGTCTGTCTTGTAGTTGCCTATATAGAAAAGAGTATTGTGAAAGATGCTCCTACATTATGCAGGTATCTGTGTGTTTCAATGTCAATCAGGTGCTCCCTACCCATTACTAGCTAAGCGAACATGCAATGGCCTCCAAATGAAGGGTCCTTCCCCTCGAAGCAAGTCAGATCCCAGAACTCACCAATCAGTCCTAGCTTACAAAAAGCTAATGGCACTTTAGGAGATGCATCACTGAGACCACCATTGCAGAACTCCTTCTCAATGACCATTAGTGACCCCTGACCACCACGTGTTCGCTAAAATGGACAGATGGAATGTGAGCAGTGGCCCCTAGAAGGAGGAGTGCTCACCTGTGCTGCTGTAGCAGCACTTTAGTCAGCTTGGTCTCCAAAAAGCACAGATTCATACTTCAGAAAAATAAAACACAAATTAGGCCCCCTGTTGCAGGAATGTGTGAAATCTGGGTACAATGCATTTGCACAAGTAACAGTGGAAATAGTGTAACTAATGGTAAAAGACACTCGTCAGCTTTAAAAAGTCTTTACCATAACATTGTGACCAATATATAAATCCCACCAATTAATTTTATATGCGTATGGGCGTATATATAAACAAATAAGATCAAGCATGAGTAACACGTCTGTCAGAGTTAATGTGGGTAAAGTCAACAATATATTCATTCTGTGTTAAAGGTCAAAACAAAACAGACGTCTGACCGCAATATGATTGCATCTGTTAATGTAAAATATACAGTATTTTCTAAAGTATACTATGAAGGGTGTGTAATCTAAATTGCCATGTTCTGACCACTCATAACTGAAGAGTCTGTATTCAGTGAGATATAACCCTTGATCGTCCTGTACCACAGATTACCAATATGTAAAACTTGCCAGTAATAATAAGGCCTGCCCAAGGACAGTGTTTGATGCTACATGTCACCTTAATGAATATCGAGTTAAAATATATACACATTTTTCCTGTGCAACTGTACCAGCAGTGAGAATATCTAGGAGTTACGTACAAAAAAACAAAACATCCAAAATAGGAGGCTAACAGTTTAAGAACTGATAAAATCTTGACATTAATAGATACCAGCTATTTAAACATGCATTTGTAAAGCACAATTTTACGGTTTAAAACCTCATCTTGAACCTTGAAGTGCTAACGCAACATAAAAGTAGAAAAAAAATTAAATGCCCATTACAAAAAGAGAAAAAAAAAAAAAAGTTCAGCGGAGAGCTCAGCCATCTCAGCACGGAGAAGACACAACACCTCCTTCATGTTATTGGCCGTTTGCTCATTGTAGCTTTAAGGAAGAGACACGCAGAGGAAAACGCCAGAATGTGTACACACATACACACCCACACACTATTACAAAGCTGACCTGCACCTCTTGAACCCACAAAATTTTAGTGCAAATCTCATTTGGCCATTTTCAAGTTAAAAAACAGGGGGAACAATGTAAAGCACAGCAGACCAGAAGGCAAGATGTACATGACTGTGTGAATCCCACGATGAAATTTTTCTTTGGTAACATCGGCAAATGGGTAGAGAGCCAATCTAACCTTCAAATGGAAAAAAAAACCAACAGTCCAGGCCATCTCAAACCACAAACGCCAAGCAGGTATAATTCATAGTAATATTTAACAATTATAGGGGGGAAAATGGCCATTTTCCTACCCAGCATGTAGAAGAACACACACTTCCATTGTTCTAAGCTCAGGAAAACCATGCAGGGTTTTAGACAGAGGTGGGGGTTGTAAGACGCTACTCATGAAACCATTGAAGGGGAGTGGTTTCGGGCATTATCGAACCCATGGCCAGGTGTCTCAGCAGGGCCAGAGACGCTGCCCTTGGCTTTGATCTGCAGCCAGGCCTCACCGAGCGCTTTGGCAAAGTGGTCGTCCACAGAGCCCGTGATGGACACCGAGTTCACCAGCTCAGGCTCCTTGTAGTTCCTCCCCAGGCTGCGGCGGAAGTGTTCCTCAATCACGGGGTCAGAGGGCGTGTCCGCTGCCAGACAAGTAATTAGAATGAACTATTTTCAGGACTAGGAAAACAAAACTGAAAACAAACAGAAATGCAGCACTTATTTCTATACTGCAGAACCAACTTGCTATATTACATATAGTAGTAGGCTAATAATCCGCAGTTCACATAAATAACTGGGGGAAAAAGCAGTTAAATCCTTCACTTAAAATACTTAATCCTCTCTTTGTTTCTGGTTAAAAAAAAAAACGCTTTTCTTTCACAGAAAGGAAAGAGCTTTTCTCATGACCTTTGCCAGGCCGTATCACCCTAAAGAGAACCATGCCAGACTCTGCTTGTATCCCAGATGTCAGACACCCTAAACACCTTAAGTGGTGGAAGGACCTCCAAGTAATAAGAGGTGGGTGGGCGTACTTGGCCATTTTTTAGATGTATTTAAAGCTGAGAGGTAATCTAATGGTGTACAACTGTACCCATAACATGTATAGTCACTGCACTACAGCACCATCTGTCAGAGGCTTAAATCAGACACAGCCACTCTATAAGCATACTCTGGAGTTATGTATGCTTTAAGAGCACCCTAACGTGTGCCAAAAGCCAAGCAAAGAGTCTTGTGCAACTGAATAACAGGAAATGGGGAGGTCTGGTGTTAGTGGGGTCATGCTCAGAAGCTTACAGCCAGCGGGCTTCCTGTAGCTGGAGAGACAGCCGCGGTGGGACAAGGGGCAGTGAGACAGGTTGCAGTTGCGATTGCTGGCAGATGCACAGGTGATCACAGAGGGGCGGTTCTGAAACATAAAGCCAACCAGACTACTCAGGGACACTCACATTTTCATGGAAAATACAGCAACTCAACAGGATCATGCTCAGGGTACAACCTTAAAAAATAAAAGTTTTGTCAAAAAACCACAAGCTACATTCTTGAATATAAAGGCATACAGGGGAACCTCTATTTAGGGGGCAGATTGCAACAGTGGGATACAAGTGAGATTCCTCTTTACCACTGAGCCCCAGTGTCCACACAACGTGTTGAATACTGCATTACCTGCTGGCGTTCCACGGGGCTGGCAGCTGGAGACACGGAAAGGGTGCCGGTGGCATCCACGCTGTTTTTGGTGAGCGCCAACGGCTGCTCCATGGCCAGGATGGGCATCGGAGAGTAGATGAGGCTACCATGAAGGCGTACAGTGGGGATGGATCCGCGCTCGCCGGGGTTCCCACTCTGATCGCGGCGGTCTTGCCGGTACTGTCCATTGATAGTCTTATCTCTGTAACAAGGTGCAGATTAGCCTCAAGCCACAGCAAAGTACCTCTATACCCTGTAAATCATCATCTCTCTAACCACAGGGTGCAGAGGGTAAAGGGTGACGAGAGTACAGCCTCCAAATCATTCACACAATGATACTTCTTGCCAAGACAAAAAAAAATCAATACCTTATGAAACAGAAATCCACACAATTAAAGTGAATTGTCAAGGGAAGCACCTCATTTGAGCTGCGATGTTATGGATGGTGCTCGAAGAACAGGAATATCTGGCTCAGTGCACCAGCTACAAATCTAGAGTCTATGGTACTGAGAGCTTTGGGAAAGGTACAGCACTATTAAAATTTAGCATGGTCTGTGCCCCATTCAAGTGAATGAATAAGATTTAATCACGTGTCAATGAAGGGGGAAATGGTTACAGATTAGAATTATGTTGATGATGACGATCATCATCGCCATCATCACCACATACAGGGCCACTCAGTTAAAGTGAGCAGGCCAGAGTGACCTATACTCCAAAGTGGAAGGATACTACAAGATCAGGTAGCTTAGAGATGTAGGCAGAGCAAATAAAACCGCTTGCATGCTCACCATTACCCAGCTTCACCTCACTTTCCTGTCAGGTCTGCAGTAGCTCTACTCAAACTTATGACGTCTCATGTTTTTAATACACAGCTCAATATTTTAACTCGATGCTGACAAAACGACAAAAATTTATTTCCCAGAAGGCCCTGCCATCTAATTGCTACTTCTCCTATACTCCCCAATCTCCATAATCTCTAGCCCCCCTACAAACTTTCCCCACTTGTGAAATACAAAAAATACAAATACAAAACGACTGTAGTAAAAGCGCAACTTCGTAAGACTTTTCAATTTCACCAGATGTACATCCGTAACTCTCCTTTTACACGCCAACACAAAGTGACACTGCTTCAGTTTTGTTGTGCTTTGCCTCTAAATGAAAATGGCTCCAGATATACAATGTTCTTCATAAGTTTGATATAGATCTATGAGATACTTTTAGAGTTACTGTGCTCACAAGATCGAGTGTCTTCTGCAGCCTCCCTTCTCTTCCTTTGCTGCCACCTAGCACTGTTGCTTCAATCTTGCTATGTTTTGGTTTCAAAATGAAACCAGGTGCAGACTGTCATCCATATGATGTTTTTGTAAAGTGGCAATAAGATCGATCAAATATTTTGAGTTATAACGTTCAAAAGGTCAAGTGGCTTCTGAAGTTACCCTTCCCTTTGCTGTCACTAAGATTTGTCTCAAAATTTCATCACTTCCAGATCTTCACTTATACAAAGAGTCTGAAAATTTTGAAAAAGAACCATAAAATACCATAAAAATACTGAGTTATCACGCTAATGAGAAAGTGTCCGCAGCAAGCAAGTATTGCCAGACTAGGAACAGCTGAATCACAATGCAGAAAAAGACCTAGTGGTCATGGATGTACTCTTTCAGCTGTTTTACAGTCTGGTTCCGCAGCAAGCCTGCATTCCCCTGCCATAACATTTATTGCCATTTTTGTGCCCATTTGGTCAAGTTTACCATCCTGAAAAATTCCCACAGGAACAAAATTTAAGAAACATGCTGCCAAACCCTCCAACCGGCAACATCAGGCCTTCATGTGAAAATGCAATAGATGCAGAAACCCAGCTCTTTTCCTGCCCATCCAAATCCTGCCTCTTTTCCCTGGAGGAACTCCAGTAATGAGCTGCTAAAGACATGCTTAAATATGATAACCCAGGGAAAGATGAGAAAGCGCGACTGAGCTCCTGCTAGAGATTCTTTATGCTGGAGATGTGCAATGGGGAGGATAAGAAGGGGGGCAGCAGCCATGTTTATTGTCTGCAATTACCAATTTCGTGAAGAGGTAGGATCTTTGACGTGGGTCTCCGGTTTACAAGAAAGCCTTGCCCTAAAAGCATAAATCAACTGCAGATAAAAGGAGGCCACCATCTGTTTTAGAAGAGAAAAAGGGCTGGGGGGGCAAGAAACCAGCCACACATTACTTTAGTACCAACATCAGTGCCAAAAAAGCATGAAGGCTGCCCTGCATCCTCTCACAATATGGTCTGCGGCCACTTCTCTTTGGCAAGCGCCCTGATTTGGAGGGGGGAGAAATCTGGCCAGAATCACAATACCCTTCACAGTAAAGGTCCCTCATTTGTCTATTCAGCAGCCTTGCAAGATTCATTGAATGGTCCGGCTCATTCAACACGCACAGAAGATTCTCAGGTTTTGAGCATACCGTTTGATTTTTCATTCTGCGTCTCCCCCCACCCCACCCTGCATAAATGCAATCTGCAATTTGTAGCAGCTTGTAATAGTTATAGAGTGATCCCCTGTTTTTAGAACGAGAACAAATCACGCACTACAAATTATACAAAGCCATAAATTACTTACTTTGGTTTGAGTTTGAGAGCTGGTTTTAACTTAACTTATATAAAATAAATTTGTTCTCTTGAAATTAAGGGGCAGAACATTACCACGATGAGTACATATGGGGAGACAGAAGGTTATGTCACAAAAAGTCTTCCCAAAGGAGAAACAAAAGCCAAACAGTACAAGGATGCAAGTTTAACAAGTACAGATACTTCAAGCGACTTGAAAGAAGGGGAATCAGAACCAGAATCCTAACTCACTTTATTAGGCAGGTACAACTGTAAGTACTAGTAATTTGTGCTTTCTAACAAATTTGCAATTTAGAACCTCAGTAAGATAAAACAGATTGAACCCAATCATAAACTATGCAAAATTGTGAAATTCTCAACTATTTTACAGGGTGTGATGCAGCGTATATCTAACAAAATTGAACGCACATTTCTCTCACTTGTTCCCAATTCAGACTACAAGTTCAAGGTTAAGCAATAAGCATGCAGCAGAGTTGCCAGTAATCATCCACATAGAATATTAACACAACTACATTTTCGGTCTCCAAAAGTAAAAACTTGTCCCTGACTATATAAAAAGTAAAATTTGTCTGAGCCACAAAGATAAATAGCAGCAGGACATATGGGAGGAATTAAGAGCTGTAAGGGAACATGCACAGGACACAAAACGTGTCTATAATGGAAATCACACATTTACTCAGGTTTCTAGCATTCAGTTACTATTGGCTTTTCATTTTATTGAAGATACATGTTGAAGGGGAATCATTATTGTAACCAATAAATATTAGACCTTGTAATTTAACAATATGCAATCATTTATATCAGCTTTCACCTTTCAACCCAAGGATCATTCAATTTTTTTCCATATAAGACCAATAAAAATACTGTAAATGCCTCGTTTTGCCAACCTACGAAGAAGTGACACATATATATATACATATATATACACATACACACACAATTTTTTTTTTTCTCACTATCAAGGGTTTAAATCTTTGGCCCCAAGGTGATTCAGTTATTGACAGAATGATTTGATGCACCAGAAATCTTTAATTTCTATTAAGATTTGATTAAATTGATCAGTTATTCCATTGTTTTCATAAAGTTTTTAAATAATAAAAATTCTTTTTTAAACTAAATTTCACAAATATTACCAAAGGAACTTAATTATTTCCCATAATCAAATCTGATGTAGTTGTTACCTTAATTTCCAATTCACCAAGGTGTACTGTTACATCTCAATGCACATCGCTTCACAAGCACTGCCTGTTGCAGTAACAGTGTGCTTGCTATTAAGCTTGTTGGGAAGCTAGAAGTTAGTGATGTGCAAGCTCCAATCATCCAGCCAGCAATCAGCCGTTCAAATGCAACTTCCTGGTGGGAATTCCAAGCTTTCTAACTTATATGGATGGTCAAACAATAGACGTGCTTACTATTATTAATTCCCATTCAAGATGAGGAAACATCCTTGATAGCAGTGGTGGGCGACATGGTGAAATTTTATTGTAACCAATTACCTATGCTTTTCCCAGAAAAAAATACATCTAAAAAACTTGGGTTGTCTTATTTTCGAGGGCTAGAATTAAAATGCCTTCAATATAACAGCTGATGGAATAGAGGTAGCCACATACTTGAAATGTAATCAACGTCATTTCAGCAATACGACATTGTACGAGTGGTAATCCCACCCACTTTCGACAATTGGCTGACATGATGCGACGCCATGGGGTTGGTCAGCAGCTGAAATTCTTCGTACTGCACAGCGTCATCATCTTTATTAAAATGACTCGACCACTCGAGTTTTGCCCCCTTTATGTTAGTTTGCTGCATCAAAAACATTCTGTGCTCTTTTGATTATTTATCGATCTACACTTACTGTGCTGCAATTGCCTGTGGTTGCACTATAGATACCTTCATAATGCATTATAATGCTTTGTACTGCATCACAAAGGTATTAAAAGTGCATTATAGATGAGAGCTTCATAGAGCATTCAGCGTAATACACATGGCTATGTGTTATGACTTTTGATAAATACTTATAGCCATGTTTATAATGCTTTATGACTGCATTATAATGCATTATGAATGTGTTTATGAATGACTAAAACCATGGCCTTAAGTATTACCAAAATCTCTTTATGGTTGCTAGGTTTTATTGGTAGTATGGCAGGTCCCAAGAGACAGATCCTTTACTTACTATTTTGTATCAGTAACATGTGTTTCAATTGTCTGTTGTCGAGGGGGAGGCCAGTAATTAGTGCATGTGCCTGTTTAGATCGATGTAAGGAATAAATAAAATATTACTACCACTTGGAATGTAATGGATTTTTCCCCCCCACTTTCATTTTCATAAAGACTGCCCCTCTAATAAAAATGCATTATCGCTGGCATCTTTACGTTTTGATCTGCACAGGCAATTTACAAATTCATCTCAAAGTCTAAGAATAAGCAAACAAAACAGAAGTTGTCATTTTATATTTGGTCAACTTAATTTTTTATGCAAAACACAATAAACACAGTAGCAGTCTGCCACATCTGTTCTTGAAACCTACGATTTCACAACATGACATACCGTGCTACACATTTGCAGCCCACGCAGGCACTGCACACATAAAGGCACTGCAGCAGTGCGCCACTAAGAGGGCGGGTACCCGAGCTGCCAAAAAAATAAAAAAATCCTGCATTTTGCTTCCATTTGGCCTGAGGCCCTTCTGGAAACATTTCCCAGCTCCAGTTGGAGCCAATAACTATGGCAAGGGTGGTCTGAAGCGGGCCGGGGGGG